TTGTAAATGGTTTGACTTTTGTAGACCCGCTTGCATGTGGTGCATGAGCCTTGTGACATGAGATAGAGAGTGAGAGAGAGACATACCACTTATGGAGGTGTGCTTGAGAGATGTAAAATTGAGTGTGTAAGTGTGTGTTATTTATGTAGATGTAGATCTAGATCCCTTTTTGGTAACACCATACATAATCGAATGCATCTCTTAAACATCGAAATCACCATGTTCATTGTGCGTTCATTAATTCCGCATACCAAACCAAAGCTCATAATTCACATCAACTAAATGGATACAAGTTATATACAATCCAGATCAAACAGACAATCGATTGTGTGAATCTGCCCTAAGCCCACAACCAAACACGTAACAGGAAATGAGGCAGAAAGCACACATCCCATTGTTTGTTAGATATTCAATGTATATAACCTCGGTGTATTCATTTGGTACTTACGGAGTTAACTGTAATAGTTCTTTTATATTTGATGAAAACATTCTTTAAGAAAAACCCTTATTTCCTTTAGTAAAAATGGTAACCACAATAGTTTCTTCTATAATCACTTATTTTATACTAGTTATATATAATCTAATATCGAACAGATAGTTAATTGTGTGAATCTGCCCTAAACCCACAACCAAACAAGGAATAGGAAATGAGGCAGAAAGCACACATCCAACTACCTATCGGATATGAATTATATATAACTCTGATGTATAAACTAAGGTATTATAGAATTAACCACTAAAGGTCCTTTAAGTTATACTGGTTTAATAAAATGGATTAAACCCCTTTACAAATAAGTTTCTAGTTTTGTCTACCAAATGTTCTATTTGAAAAGTATGTTCTGTACTAGAAAACGGTTTACTGAATTTGTATGCTATGGCCTGACCCATGCCTGTTACTCCTTATGATTACTTTGTGTATACAGAATATATATCTAGCAAGGATCGAATAGGTAGTAGTAGATTGTGTGAATCTGCTCTAAGCCCACAACCAAACAAGGAACAGGAAATGAAGCGGAAAGCACACATCCTACTGCCTTTCGGATCCGATTAATATATATCCTTGATGCATCCATCAAGGAATCATAAAGTTAGCATTATAGGCCTCCTTCTAACTGAATGTACTAAGACTCGACTGTTCTGTTTGTCGTTTGTAATAATGTAAGTTTTCCCTAGTTTATAACTATCTTTACTAGAAAATATTTTTCATTACGTTTTATGTGAAAATATCACCATATGAATGTAATGGTAAAAGATAGTATACGGTAGTATTATATAAAATAACTACCGAAGTACTGACTACCTTAAAACCAGTTTGTTAAATAAGGTTTAAAATTATGTGTTGTGGTTGTAACCTTACTAATCGACAAGTGTTTAACACGACGACCTTCTGGCGTCAAAACTGATGTGACATTTGTCACCCGTAGACCTGTAAGTCCCACTGTAGCTAGCAGCAAGGTGTGGGGTGTCAATCTCGTATAGATCTATACACAAACTCATGCTCTCCCTCCAGGAGACTCTGGTTACAAAACGCGACCTAACAAGTATATTGCTAAGCCGTGAAGTAGTCTCACATTAATGTTATCTTGCTCTTGTTATCGTATGTTCCTTTCTGTTCTTGTTATTGTACATTCCTCCCTGTTCTTGTTATTGTATGTTCTGAACCCCTAAACTACACCTATTATAGTTTACTAGTAAGTTTGGTTTGAACTGTCTCTGATTTGTAGAAAAGACTCGATTATCTACTGAGTTATGACTGTACTTTAAAAACTGAGTTTTACAAACAACAATGTAACATAACTTAAAAGAGTTTTTGAAATGATTTGGTCACTTATAAAAGCATAAGCAATCCTTTAAAATGATGTTTATCACAAATAACATTTACACAATTATCATTGTGTTCAACTTGTATCCCCCCCTTAAAAGCATTTAAAACATTTAAAAGATTGAGTATAGGGGTATGAACTCACCTTATGTGGGTGATTCAATTGAAGATTCATGTAAGGATGAGAAGTTCCACGAATGAAGTCTCGAGACACAAACGAGTCCTAAATGACATATATTGATACATATAGGCATGTAATTAGCAAATCTAACTAAAAAGGAGATTGGGAAACAACCTAGGATGCAAGAATAACTCACGAAAGAAGTGTTGGAAACAAGATAGGAGGTTGATTGGATGTTCACGGCCCAAAGGAAGGATGGTTCACGGCTCAATGGAGTTCACGGCCCAAATGGATGAATGGTTCACGGCCCAAGTTGGTTCACGGCCCAACTTGATGAGTGGTTAACGACCCACTTGGTGTTCACGGCCCAATCTTGAAGGGTTCACAGCCTAAATGTGAAGAACACTTGAAGAATTAGGTGTTTTGGTGAGTGTTTGAAGATCCTAGTAAGCTTCTATGAAGTATCAAAGGAAAGGGGGTGTTTAGGAGTGAAAGATGGTGTTCTTGAACTAAGATACTTGAGAGAGAACGGAGAGTTTGCGGCCAAGAAAAGAAGAAGTGAAGAATAAATGAAGGAAAAGTACATATATGGGAGGGGTTCACGGCCACCCTTGGGTTCACGGCCACCCTTGGGTTCACGGCCGTGAACACCCTTTGATGGGTTTTATGGTTCAATTTCATTCCTCTAATACTAAGCTAACACTTCTCAACATCCAATCCATAAGTCCATAAGTGTACTGGGTTTAGAACTCATTAGAATGACCCTTAACAAGGCTAAAAGGCAATAGAAACTAGTCTAACTTTTGGTTGAATGAATTGACTTACAAAGTAGAAATTTTCAGGTTGTCACATATTAGCCCACTGAGATTGCTGATAAACCCCAGGGGTGCTAATAACCCATAGTTGTTTATTATTGTTGTGTTGTATGGATATTTGGTGAGGACTCACTAAACTTTATGCTTATGGTTGTGGATTAAGTGTATCAGGTACCTCAAATGATCACGTAAATATGAAGGTATGATTGTACACTTCGTCCGACATATCCTTTATGTTTTTCACATTTTGATACTCTGATTTGGGATGAATGTATTAATACATCTTAGATATCTTGTTTTGGATTTTTATAATACATGGAGGTTTTTGCTAAAATAAAAAATTAAAATATTTGTGGAAAATTTATGTTGTTACAGATTTGTGATCGGTAAGGTGGTGGTGATGACGAATCAAAACCAAAGAATGCAATTGGGTTGGAAACATTTTGGTCGGAAGAGTTGAGATTATTTTGGTTGTTGGAAGACATTTTTGAGAGAATAAGGTTTGTATTTTGAGTGAATTGAATGGTAAATATGTATATATTGGTAATTTGTAAAAAAAACAAAAGAAAAAAAAAGAAAAAAGAAAAAAAGAAAAAAAAACAAAAGCATCAAACGGTCACTCCAACGGATATAATTCAGAAACATTTGACAAACGACTCATTTTTTTCATCGGCGAAGCTTTGCCTTCGACAAACTACCGCCGGCAAAAAACTAATAAGGGGCAGTGTTCACCACCGGTAATATGCGCCACATAAGCATATCGACGGTAAAATCATTATGACATCATGCAGCCTAAGAGGGTGTCGTTGAATTAAGAGAGTTATGGGTGAGAAAAGAAAGTATTTTAAAAAGCTTTTGCATAATTCAACAAGTCAATAAAATATTTTTTAAAAAGTGTTTGTCTTAGCTTATATATGTTTTAAGGAGTATTTGTTTTTTACAACCCACTAAGTAGGGGTGAACATTTGGACCAAACCGAACTGGACCGGTTCTTGGATCGGACAGGTTTAGCATAAATTGGTGAACATTGGATTGGACCTGTTAAGGCTTACCGGGTCCAGGTCTAGGTTTTCCGGTTCTTGTACCTGTTGGACAAGTACAAGTTTAGGCGCATACGATACAACTCATTGAAGCCCTACCGAAAGTTAGTTGATCTATTATGACTGTAAGGGTGAGCATTTGGATCGGATCGACTCTTGGACTTGATAGGTTTGGCAGAAATTGGTCAACTTTGGACCACACCTGTTGAGACTTACCGGTTCCAGGTTCTGGTGATTATTAGGGCATCCACAATGCATTGAACTCCATAAGGTTCAGTAGATTGTCACATCATCTTTCTACAATCCATACAACTCTATCATTTTTTTCTTACAATGCATTGAACTCTACAAAGTTCAATAGAATGTTATATATATTTAAGAATTAAAAACTTTCCTTTTTCCCATTGAAGAGTTCAATGGCCACTGAACTCCAAATCTATTGAATGTCAAGGTGGCATCTCACAATGGTAGAGTTTCATCCATTGAATGACACATAGACTTTCCACCTCATTCAACTCTCCCATTGAATTCACCATTGTGGATGGTCTTAATCATATTGATGTTAAACCGGTTAAATAAAAGTTAAACATGGGTTTCTAAGATTTTTTAGGCTTCACACATCCTTAATATAAGGTTTCAAATTAGTAAAAAATCACCAAATCTTGTCTCCATGAGACTTTCATCACATTTCAGTTTTTGTCCCATAATTTCATAATATAACAAGATATTTCGGTTTTTTGCCCAATTATTATCGAACCATTATCATAAAAACATATTATCTTAGTATATGAGCAAACTTTTTCCAGATATAAATCATGATAAATACTATTATCTTAGTATTTCAACTTTTGTCCGACACTAAAACAAAATAGCAAAGTATTTTGCTTATTTCCCCATTTCTTGCATAATCATATTCCTGAACATATAGTCTTCATTTATATACACTTTATGCCAACATGGATTTCATGAAAACTTGAACACTTGGACAGAATTTTGGCATCAATCACAAATCGTCCACATTTCATTACTTAACAGTGACTGTTCCTTCTTGTAAGTTACATAAGTTTAAATCATTATATCAACATATATGGTAGAAATTGTTCATGTGCACATATAGTGTCCACTATGGCATTCAATATAACCATAAAGAGTGATAGAAGTTAAGTACTTAATACCATAAGAGAACGTAATAGCTTATAAATCGCTTACAACATCTTTACCTTCACTTGTTTCTTCATAACATAAACACAATAAGCTTCACAAAACTCTAACCTAAGCTTTACCTTCTACTCCCCTAAACCCCCACCCAAACTAAACCATTCAGCGCACCCACTTAAACCATTCAGTTACATAAAAGTAAATCATATATATGTGTACCCACAACTAAACACAAAAGCTGCCATATCTTTCCAAAAGCCTTAACTGATGCTAGCCGAATGATCTCCTTCATCACTTCTACTAAAATCTGCACAACAAATATAACACCATTAAAATCCAATCTTACGCTCTTCTTAATTATCACATTTCACATATAAAGTAAGCATAATCATAATCCTAGAAGCCAAAAATAACAAAATTGATAACATCAATGATAAGTATTGGAAACCACACAATTTTTAATTTCAAGGAACTTGTGGTGAAGTGTAACAAGAAAGATATTTTTTAATAGTTAATTTATTAGAAATAAATGATGGTCCTGTTTGATACTTGTAGTTGTCCTCATGGAAACATGGACCATGGGCTAAAAGTCTACAAACCAAATTTGATGATTATGAAAGGATATTATAGCTACAAATCAGAAACAAGACAAAATATATATATATATATATATATATATCAATTTGTAGGAAGCAATCATTTGGCAAGCAACCAACACTTTGTCCATGTCACTAATTGATGAGCTTCTAAATTTTGAAGGGTAACATTTATTGAAGAATGAAGACCAATAGTAACAAGGTAAACAAGATATACTAAAATCAAGAAGATGAGGAGGGCATTCATGTCTTTTGCCTAGACAAGAGATCAAGAATGGGTTCTTGTCCCAAGTAGTGCATAAACCCTAAATTTGTGGATTGCATAAACTCAAAATCTATTAGAACTTTGATTTGAGCACATTACAAGCATACCCAGATATTTTGATCATCTAAACCAGGAAGTGATGTAAACTATTTAGATCATATATGCCAGATGTGGTTCTATTTATAAACTTTTCAAGTAAAATTTCGAATTTATTGCTTAAGAAACATTCTCTTTATGAGAAATCTTTGAAACCCATTAACTGAAGTGGGTTAAATGGAGGCGTAACAGTTATTAGAATATCAATTTCCGATGAATTGAAGACAGAATCAAAAGGGTAACGATGGAGGCTTAAGATGAAGACATACCGGGCTCTGAATTCCTTTTTGAACGCTTCAATTTCTCCAGCTGCACCTGAGACTCCATTAATAGCTTCATCCTCTGAAGCTCTAGATCCTTGGTGAATTGCATTCTCTGCTTCTCTAATTCAACCATCTGCCGTTGTTTGGCTTCTTCAACCCTCTCATACACCTCTGCAAACCTTCCGATCGCCTCCGCCAAATGATGGTATGCATCGCCGCCGGTCTCATCAGCCTTCTCTAACCGCGATCGCCGCGCTCCGTTTCCGCCGCTAGACCATGACGTATCGGAATCCTCATCTGCACCGTCAATTGCAGCCGCAGCCGCTGCCATCACAGAGAAATTACGCCGGAAAAACGAAGTGTCGTTCGACGGTTGAAACGCCGGCGGCGCCGGCCGTTTCGACCGCGGAGCAACGGGGACAGATGAAGGCGGAGGAGGAAGAGCAGGGAGCGACGGCGGAGTCCGAATTCGTTTACGTGGAGGCGGCGGTGTCGGTGTCTGTGTTGAGGGTTTGAAGGAGGAACCGATGAGTGAATCAAGCGGTGCGAAGAACGGCCATGGAGAAACGTAGTTATCAGCACCTAACTCCAACATCTTTGACTTCTCGACCTTGAACTTCTTCTTCAAAGTGTCGATGCGGTTCTTACACTGTATATCAGTCCGGCGAGATTTTTTGACGTGACCGTGACGGGCGTTGACGGAGTCAGCGACTTCCTGCCAGTGTTTCTGACGGAGGTTACCACGGTTAAGTTCGACGAACCTATCTCCCCAGGCCTCGATTAGCGTGAACGTTGCTTCCTCCGACCAGCAGTCTTCCCTCACCGGAAATGACGTGTTCTTGGGAGGAGGAGGTGGAGCAGGTAGTGGTAGTGGCGGTGCAGTCTCATTGTCGTCCATGGAAGCAGTAGGGGCAGTTTCCGATTGGTGGCTGGTGGTAGAGTTTCCGTCGGAGGAACGGTGAGGTGTGGCAGTAGGTGGTGAGGCGGCGGGAGAGGAGGGTGAGAGATGGGGTTTGAGCAGCGGCGCGTGAGGAGGATCTGAGTTATAGTCGGATTGACAGGACATGTTTGTGCCGCCGACGAACGTGGGGAGATTCTGATGAGGCGACCGAGTTTGAGAGGACCTCTCTTTTTTGAATACCTTTGCCTCGCCATAGCCAAGCCCCTCTCTTTTATCAATTTTTCGTTTCAACCCCCTTATCTTTTCTTTTTTATATTTATTGACCATCTTTACCAACATTACTATAAATAATTATAAAGCTATGTGTCACCAACATTTAGTATAATTATAAAGCTATGTGTGTCACATTTTGGAATTTCAATTTATACCCTTCTATCCTTAAATCTTAAATCTTTAGGTTATTGTCATTATAACCCAAAAAAGTATTAGTATTTGTTTTCAAATGGTCTATGTGTTTTATTTATGCATTATGAACCCTTAAACTTACAAAGTGGCATTCTAAAAAGAGGAAAATGATCATTTTGTAGCAGGCTTCCAGGTAATTTAGACATGAAGGTGTGTTGATGTGGAATAATTGATAGTCACATAGATTATTAAATGAGCCATGTAGTGATGTGAACATGAGGGTTAGCTAGCTTCTTAAAGAAGCTTGGGGTGGTATTAGCACCTCAAAAGTGAAGAAATAGTTCCTTATTTTATGCAATAATCATCGATGTCATCTTCCTCGTCTCAATATCGTCAAATCATTGAAGCAAATAAAGTTGCTCAAAGTGAAGACAATATCCCCGTTCATTTGCTTCTATCCAGGTTTGGTAGCAAACTTCCATGAATCATGGAAGCCAAAAAACCTTGCACGACGGTTTTCAATTGTCTAAATTCCTTTATAAGGATGTGTAATCTCTTGACATTACAAACAAGATGTTTGAATTTTATTATGGTTTTGAAAATGTACTCTGTTCGAAAACTGTAATTTTGAACTGAAAAAAACCCACCCTGGTTTCTCTTTCTTGTAGATTTCTCTTTATAGTTGTTAATTCTTCATATGGTAGACACCACTAATCAAACACTACAAATATGCAATCTTGAGGTTGTTATAATAAAGCTAAAGACATGGCTAATACTATGGAAGTAGCTATGTTACAAAAAGAAAATGTTAAAGCAAAAGAATTTACTATATTCTAAGAAGGAATTAGCTGCCAAAAATAATTTTGGCTGCAAGATGAGGTGATGAAGCTGAAGAAGAAACTGAAAGTTCAATACCAATTTGAAATTGTGGTTTATCGTGGTTATCTATCTTTTTATGAAGTTGTTCAAATGGTGTTAGGTTTAGGTTGTGAAAATTGGATTATATAGTTTTGGGACGGTTCTTTTGGAAGAATATGATAAATAACAATCTTTTTCTAATGCATACCAATTCAAATAAGCATTGTATAGTTGTGGAGAGACAAGTTTTCTATAAAGTGTCATCTTGTAGGGATAGTGATGAAATCCCTTTTTGGTAAGCAGATGTTAACGACACATAACTTCATGCAAGTTTTTAGTGATCTGTATAACATTCCCACTTTGTACTATTTTAATGTCATTTTTTCTAAAATTGGTTCATTGGTTTGATGTACATGCCTTAATAAATGCATATAAGAACTAACATAATGACAACATAAATTAGTCTGATTCATAATAAAATGTTGAAACAAACATATAACATCAAAAACGGCATGTAACTTCCATTCTTCATGTTTCCAAAAGTGTTCGATAATAAAATTGTTTCCAAAAGTGGTATGCAACTGTCATACTTCATGTAACAAACAAACATGTTATTAAATTAAAATAATAATTGTTTCCATGACACCTACTCTAAGTTGATAGGTTTTTTGGCTTACTTTCTTTCCCTACTATTTCTGATAACTTCCTTGGCAATATATTTGTTGATAATTCTTTCATGCTTCCTCAACCTAGTTATTTTGTACTTTTATACCGACCTAACGAATTTCAACATGCTCATCACCATCCTTTGGCATTGTAGCAACTTCATTGCCACTCGCATGCATTACAACCTCTTTATTTCTATACCCATGCATGGAAACAGGCTCAGAACCATCCTCATGCAGTGTATTAGGCTTAGTCCCTTCCTCATGTATAGTAACCGACTTAGTACCAACTTCTCTAGTTCCTTAAGACGAAAAGTAATTATATATTGGAATTAATAATTATATCCACAAAGTTTAATAATGCATACCTTTTTTATTTTTGTATCTTAGATCTCTTATCCTTCAACTTATTTAGTCTATCCACCTTTGTACAAGTTGCCTTGTTATGCCCATGCTCATGACATACATTGTATAAGACTCTCTTTCTAAGAGTTGGGACCCTATGTTTTCCACTATTTTACTTACATCTCTCTTCCTCTTAACAATTGGTTATCCATGCATTCTCTTACTTTTTAAGGGTAAAAAGGGAATAAATGTGGTTTCATGCCACATGTTTCTCCCATTCATAGGACATAAATTGTTGATTTATGACTTCATGTATATTGTATTAATAAAATAAGTATCAATATAGTTTTCCACATCCCTGTTAAGAAAATATATGGAAAAACTAAATGTACATAACCATAACCATATAGTTGTCATAATATGCATGAACATGGTTTCTTATCTAGGTTAACTTTAAAAGGTTCCCCACCATACTTACTCTTAAATTGGTTTGTCCACCAGAAAACACCTACCAATACCTTTATTTTATCTTAAACTCATTTAATTTTCCTCTAATAGTGTAACACCCGTTCCCAGAGTGGTTCAGGTGAGGGCTTGGTGGGGTAATAGATATGACTTTTGGGAAAAGGTGCCACGACGTGGTGATGGGAGACCATGACATGGTGTATTTTATGCATGATCATGTGTTTATTTGGTCGCCACAATGTGGTAGGTGTGGCGGCCCAAGCCCATGATTTTTAGGGTTTTCTCCATATTTAAACACCTAATCTCAAGGATTAGGGCATCCTTTTCAGCCTCCAACCCTTTCAACGAAACCCTAGCCTCCTTGGAGTGAATCTTGTTGTATTAGTGGTGATCCTTGAAGTTTGAAGCTTTGACTTGCATTTTTGGAAGATGGAGTGGTGTGCTTGCTAGTTGGAAGACTGATTTACTTCGGATCCTTCACCTCATGCATCTTGTGGGGCTTTGGAAGGTCTAAAGCCTCCACCTTTTTGGTTCTCTCTTCATAGATCTAAGATTTATTGCATTTCTTGGTTTATATTCAAGTTTGGGTTGATTTGATGTGATAAAGTTTGCAACATTATAGCTCATCTTGGTCCCTTGGTCACTATATCTTTTGGATCTGAAGTTTGATTGTGTTTTGAGATCTATGTATGGGATTTTGGTCTTTTTCCCCATTTTAACCTAGATTGAGATCTAAACTTGCATTGGTCATGCATATCTATAAAGCTGCAATTTTTTTGTTGGAATAGAAGAAATTAGTCCTTCTGGAAGTTATGGATTTGTGGCTTTGGTTATTAATAACTTAATGGTTAAGTTCAAGCCTTAATTTGTCATTAAGGATCTAGGTTTAGAGATCTATACTCATCAGGACGTCTTAATGGGTAAAGTTGGAAACATTATCCATCAAGACCTTGGGGAGGACTAGATCTGAGCTTTGGAGTTCTTGAGTTTGAAGGAAACAACTTAATACATTAAGTTGTTGAGACCCAGTTCCCACGACGTGGAAATGGAGGCCACGACATGGTGACTGGGGGATGCCCGACTATTTTGTCGTTTTTCTCCCACGACTTGGCAATGGAAAGCCACGACGTGGCGACCTGTTGAAGTGGACTTTGATCGTTGACCGTTGACTTTTTGACAAGTTTGACTTTTAGTCAAACTTGGAGAGGTATTGAGCTATATCCTGAGATTTATCTTGTGATTAGTTTAGGAGGTTCGTGTAGCTGATTTTGCGGGGCTAAGAGCAGGGGGTTTCAACTCTTCATTCAGGTGAGTTTTCTCACTATACTTGCATGTGTGGTAGTATATGCATGTCGACTAGTTGGGTCGTATTTGTTGATTTATATTATATGTGAAATGAGTTGCTAATAACTCCTGGACTGTTGTATGTCCATGGGACTGCTGATAGTCCCCAGGGTTGTTGATAACTTGTGAGGTGTGTTGTTAATCCATCAGGCGTGTTGTTAACCTATTGGGACTACTGATAGTCTCCAGAGTTTGCTGATAACCTTTAGCTGATTATTATGTTGTGTTGTCTATGTTATTTTGGGGAACTCACTAAGCTTTGCGCTTATAGTTGTGGATTAACTATTTTGCATGTACTTATCGGATTGTGAAGGCGGGACTGTACACACACATCAATATATTTATGATTTGAGATTCTGCATTACCTTCTTATTAACTCTGATTTCGGAATAATGGTGTATGGACAAATGGTTGTAACTTTACTAAAAATGGATGTATATTATTTTAAAGGTGAAAAATTTTAGCCCTAGTTTTTGGGATGTTACAAATAGCAGGTAAAATGTCACTTGACCAACCTTTACCATTCATCGTGAAAAATCTCTCCATCATGTATAACATTAACTCCTCTAGCATGGTTATTATTTTTTCCTTATTGCATCAACTATAGCTGAATTAAAAGTGACTAAACTGTTCTCCATTGTTGCACAACATCTCCCAGTTTCATAATAAGCTTCGAACTATGTTTTTGGGTCCTTGTCTATCAAGTATTTGTTGGCTTCTGGACATATTAACTCCATTTCTTTCATAAAGAATTTAAATCTTTGCTAAATACCTTCATTGCAAGCTTTCTAAAAGAGTTGTTAAAATGTTCCCAATAAATATTTTTTGGATGTTTGAGGATATGTGCCTTGCATATTGCTTATACAACATTAGGTAGTAGATCTTTTACAACCTTCATTAGTCCCTTAAAATTAAAAACTATGAAATACATTAAAATAAATAAAATAAATTATTAAAAATAAAAGTGTCTATATACTAGTGATGTTATTTTTAATGCAATAGTTTTTATATTTATAATTCCTAGTCTATCGCATCTAAACCACACCTTACATGCAGTGAACCTGATCGAGTATAGTATAATTTTGATAAACAAGGGTGTCGAACTTAAGGGGAACGGTAGTGAATTAACATTAGAATATTTTATTATAGGTTATACCAAATTAAAGAAAGCAATAAAATCGGGGTTTTTTATTATTAAATATCAATTAAATCAACAACTAAGCTAACTAGATAAACTGACTGTAAACGAACCGCTT